TCGAAGATCTTGTTCTCTCTTTGCGATGTTTTGCAGGGCAGTGCCACAAAAAATGCGCGCTTTCCCTGTCGTGGAGCACTTGGAGCACTTGGAGTGCAGTTGGCAGCCTCACATCCAGGGCCGGGGAGCTCAGAAGCGCACCCAGCGGGCCGGATGATCGGGATCGGGTTACGGGCAAGAGAGCCCTAGCCCCGGGGGTTCGCGTTCGCAGGGAAAGGGCCTTAAAGTAAACACGGGTCCCCGAGGATTAGCTCTGCGCTCCGGGTTTCCCCTAGCAGCGGAACGCCCCCTCTACTCGGGGCTAGTAGACACCAGGCACTAGCACGACAACACACCCACTCCTCACTGACTGCACCGCTCGGAGCCCCCCCGCTCCGCACACGGTCTCCTCACCCCCCTTCCGAGGGGGGTCCTCCCTCCCCTCGGCCCTCCCTCCTGTTCGCCTTCCGATGGTTATGCGATGATTGTGGGGCCCGACCTCCCCTCCGAGCCTTCTTTGGCCGCGGCTCCAGCTTCTTGCAGCCCATCGGTCACACAGCGGTTGTCGCAGGCGCCTGCTGCTCCGGCCGAGAGCCTCCTCTCCCAGGTCCGCTCCGCGCTGAGCCTCGACGACCAGGTTTGCACCGACCTGCTCGATGGCACCGAGGACCTCGAGTCTCTCCAGGGGCTGAGCCTCGACGCCGTCCGCCGGCGGCCGGCGCAGCTTCGTGCGATGCAGGTCGGGCTCGAGGCGCAGCTGCTGGGCCTCGCGAGCGGCCCGGGCACGTCTGGCTTCGTCGAAGCGGCCGAGTGCGCCGCCGAGGTGCGCGAGCGGACGGCCGCGATGCTCGACGCCGCCGTCGCCCTCGGTGCGGCTCTGCCCGCCGTCGGCCGGGCGAGCAGCGCGCTGTTCCGCGACGCGCGCGAGGGCTCCGGCGCGCGCGCCAAGCTGGGCGTCCTCTCCGACTGCCACGACGACCTGGTCGAGCTCCTCGAGCAGCCGCAGCTCGCCGCGTCTGCCGTGCGGAATGGCCTGTACAGCGAGGCGCTCGAGCTCGACGCCGCCGCCGCCGCGCGCGCGGCGATGCACCCGGCGATCCCGGCGCTGCAGCGCGTCGCCGCCGGCGTGCGCGCCTCACTCGGCGAGCTGCGCCACCGCCTCCTCCTTCGCCTCTCGGAGCCGCTCACGCTGCCAGAGGCGACCGCCGCAGCGCCCGAGCTCGCCCTCTCACCCTCTCGCCTCGCCCCAGCCGCCGGCCC